TCACCCACCTTCTGCGTGGCCATGTGTCTTCCAAACCTAGACAGATAAGTGTATGTATAATCAATCGGTTCAAAGCCCCCTGTAGCAGGAGGCAGTGCTTTGTTGTAAAACAAAACTCAGATGAAATAACCATCATCCTTTCAAATATCCTCTGAGAGTTTGGTATTTGAGGCACATTCTGTGATGTACTTCTCTCTGACCTCAAACACTTTGATTCTTTTTTTCAACTTCACATAAAAGAGAGAAAGCTCTCAGATTGGTCTACTGTACCAAGAGCCTCGACTGGATCTGAATTCTTTGCTAGTGTGGAGAAATTAGTTGTTATTCCAGATAGTTAGGAAGTGTGGAGATGAAGGGCCACTGCATTAGAGAGGCCCAGCCCTTTGGGAAGTTGGGCTGTCTCGTTCCTTACTTAAAAATAGCTAAGTTCCCACTGTTCCCTAAGGCTCTGAAGGGTACACTTAGATACTGCCAGTTCTGTCCTGACATCCTTTCCTACCATTCACAATACACTTTCAGAATTAGAGAATGTGCCTTGTCCGGAAGGCTTAAAACAAATGCTTCAATTTTGCGTTCTCCAAATGAAAATCAATGGCAGCAGAGAGGTACAATCAATGTTCAGTGGTCTGTAGGGGAGTTCTCACCCCATCCCAACCTGCCACCCACATAGAACAATAAATCAGAAGTAGCCATCCTGATTGGCAGAGAATCTCTGCGAGCAGAGCCCTCTGCAGGCTTAGGATTCTCTTTTGCCCTATGCCCTGTGACAGTGGTGACAAACCTAGAGCACATGGGTGCAGCGGGTTGTTTGTTACCACTGAAAGCTCTAAAGGTTCACCATCACTGCCCTAACAGAATGCTTTGCTTAAGAAGGTCTCAGAAAATATTTTAGAAACGTAACCATTGTGATTTAGATCTATAAGGGTCCCTAACAGCCTCATGTGTTTGGAAGGTGACTGAATCACGGGGGTGCTACACTCTCCAGGGGATAATGATGACTTGCTATTTGGAGACAGGGCCTGATAAGAGGTAGGTCACTGGGCATGACCCCAAAGGGTGTATGCTTGTCCCCAGCTCCTTTTCTCCTCTTGGATGACATGGTGTAATCAGCTTTCGTTTGGCATTCCTTTTCCTATGCCATTCTGCTATGGATATAGTTAACTATGGACAGAACCTCCTGAAAACTTCCAGCCAAAATAAACCTCTCCTCTTTAAATTGTGGGTGTTTGGTATCTTATTTGGAGATGAGGAAAAGCCAACTTCTACACTAAGTCAGGAAGAATCATACAGTGTTGTAAAAAGAATTCTTTTGAAAACAGGCCTATTTGCCAGTAGCCTCTCTGGCATGTAACCCCAGAGCTTGACTGCACTGCTTCCCAAAGGATCCACTTTATTAGCCAGCCTTACAGCCTTAAGGGCCCAGTAACCACTGTCATCCTCCCAGGCAGCTAGTGATCAGTTTTCTGTCACTATAGATGAGCTTGTGTTCTCTAAAGTCTCATGGAAATGATGACCACAAAGTATACACTTTGAGTGAGGTACTAGTTTTACTCACTCAAAATCAATTCTAGATTCACCCATGTTGTCAGATGTATCAAAAGTCTATTTCTTAATGTTGAGTAGAAATCCACTGCAATGGACACACTGTAATCTGTTTATCCATTCAACTTGGGTTACTTCCTACATTTTTTCAATTACAAATAAAGCTGATATGAATATTCACCAGTCTATCTTTATATGTACACAAGCTTTCAGTGCATATTTTAGAATGAAATCATCTGTTGGACATGTTTTGCAAATATTTTTCCCACTGTGATTTGCCTTTTTATTTTTAAATTTTATTATTATTTTTTGTTTTGAGGCAGAATGTGGCTTATGTTCAAGCTGGCCTTAAGCTCACTATGTGATCCAGGTGGTCTCAAACTCACAATGATCCTCCTGCCTGAGCCTCCGAGGGCTGGGATTGTAGGTGTACATCATGACACTTGGCATTGTTTTTATTTTTATGAAAGTGCCTTTCTAAATTTTAACAGAATCTACTTTGTTGATTCTTTTTTCTTTTGCACCAGCTATTCATTAGTGTCTTACTTGAGAAATCTTTCTCAACCTCATGATCACCATTTTATGTTTTTTTAAAAAAATTTTATAGTTGTACCTCTTATATTTCATTTATAACCTGTCTAAAGTTAATTTTGTATATTTAATTGGCATTTACATATGTAAATTTGTGGTATCATAAAATACTCATAACAAATATTAATTGAAAAGCATCTAATATGTTTTATATACAGTATAGTTATTGTTTGTTATTCAAATAACAAATACCCATGACCAGAAGAATAGGTAGGAGTAGACAGCAATATTTTATGATAATATTACCATTATTTATTTTCTCTTTCTTTTGCTTTTCTTTCAGTTTTTTATTGCAAGCATCAACTATCATTAATCAAAATAAACTAGGACCAACCAGGTATGGTGGTACCATTATGTAATCCCAGATGCTCACAAGGCTGAGGCAGGAGGACCACTAGTTCAAACCCAGACTGGACAACTTAGCAAGATCTTATGGCAAAATAACAAAGTAAAACCGGCTGGGAATATGGCTTAGTGATAAAATTCAGTCCACAATACTGCCCCCAAAAAGATAGGTGCTGGAATATTTTTTGAAAGTCTCTTGAGAAAAGCCTTCTTGATTCCAGACTGACTTTCCAGTACTATCTCTTGCATAAATGGTTCCTTTAGAGAACTGGAAGGATGGACATACTAACACACGCCCGCGCACCTACCTCCTTCCAACCCCACTCAGTACTGCTTAAGTAGAGAGAAGTAAAACAAAACATTGCCAGAAGACACCTCCAAAAAGAATAAGTTTAACTGAAGCCTCTGATGAAAAAAAGAGAAATACAAATGCAAATACTACAATATCACCATAATCAAGTAGAAGAATTCCAGCAGAGAAGTCTGGATGTCTTGCTTGCCTCCTTTCAAGATTACTCAGTCAGCTCCAAAATGCTACAGTCATAGCTGTGTGCATCCAAGAAAAGTTGATACAGTTTTCTCACTAATGTACCCACTGTCCTGCCTGGGACTGCTTGCTAAGATAGCCTAAATCTGGAGCCTTGCACGCAGCACAGGCCAGCAGCCCTCCATGGATGTTCACTCCCGACTGTCAGAAGGGTAGGACTTGCCCCTTGAGCCGCTCAGGGGATGCTTGGGTGGGAGGACGATCTACAGATGTTTGGCAGAAAGATGAGTAAATCAAGTTGCAAACATGGTCTCCCTAATCACAGGAGATCCCTGAAGTATTACACAGAGGGACAGATGTTTTATCTGGGAAACTGTCCAAGATCCTCAGAAGAGATGCACAATTGCCTAATAATGAGGGATGAATAACTCAGCCTTCAGAGAGAGGAAAAGGCTTAGACCCACAATCAGATGCCACTGTAAGGCCTTCCTGGGCCATGTCACCTCCCAAACCCTGATAAGCCACCTCAATTAATGCTGACTCTTTGGGCTGGTTTTCCAGTCAATGAACAGGTCCCACTATCAGAAATGCAGCTGTCTTCTTAGTCCTTACCTGCTGGGAAGCTCAGAAGGGCCAGCAAAAATAAAGCTGTAATCTTCCCACTAACCCTTTGGGCTTATTCTAACAGGAACCACAAAGGCAGCTCCATCAGACTAGGCAGGGGACACAGTATCTGGAAGGCGTTGACTTCTTGACGAGGAGGATGCAGCTTTGGGAATTCCTGGCTGAACTCTTCCAGATGAATCGGATGATAATCATTCTTGTCATAATTGTTTAGCTATCATAATGTGGCAACTGCTGCCATTTGACACAACAGTGAGCACATGACACACCATCACCTTATAGAACTGTCACACAAACATGCAAAACACCTCCTGTAAGTGCTATCATTAAATATATTCAACATATAATGAAGCACAAAGTCACAAAGGACTTTCCCAGTCACAAAGGACTTTCCAGGGCCACCCCCCCACACACACACATACACAGGAAGCAGCCAACATGAGCATTGAGCCCAGATGGTCTCAATGCCAAATGTGAGCTCTGAACCACTCTAAATGTGGGAGATGAGAACAGAATGATGCTTTCTATATAACAAAAAAAGTGATATCAGAAATGTGATGTTCCAAGGATAACACCATTTATACCTGGATGTATCTAAATACAAATGAGATTGTTGTTTGTTTGAACTCAAGACTAAAAATATCTTGTCTGTTTCTAGAAATGTCTATATTCTGACTTTTAGAAGGACACACACAATGGACTTCCTATGATCTATACACACACATGTGCCTGTATGCACACATGAATGTACACACACACACACACACACTCACACTCACACAGGTGTGTGCACGTGTGTGTGGTCAAACAGCTGAGTAACCGAGAATACTATTCCCAACTGTTCTTGTATTTGGGTATTTGCAACAAAAGATACCACATTTCCCTCTATCAGCAAAAACAGAAGTCACATGTGGCAGAAAGAGTAAGTGGAAGTATCAGATATTGCACCTGAGGAAACAGCAATACATATTCCTAAACGGCATGGTTATGTGGATCCTGGGGATGTCAGCGGATGGAAGCAGAGAGCCTTTGGGCCTAAGAACCCTGGAGATTATCACAGTCAGGTTATCAGGTATGACCAGGAGCTAAAGATCTAACCCTTGCTTTCCTAGCTATAAGTTTTCTGGATCCTCGGGTCACTCAGAGAAGAGAAAAGGCCCCAATACTGACCAAGAAGGGATTTTTCTATTCATCTGCTCAGACAAGGGCTCAGAGTCAAGATGTAATAGATTTAAAGGCAATTAAAAGTCATATATTTTTAAGTCCATGTTTGAAGAGCGAGATTCATGGCATAGCAAGAATCCAGGCACCAAACGCTATACACAATGGTGCATAAGCTTTATGCTCTCTCATGCCCAGCACCCACTAGCACTGAGGCTCCGGACCCCAGCTGTCTCGCTTCCTGCCTCACCTGGGCAGCAGGTGCTTGCGGCTGACACAGAGAGCTGTCTGGTAGTCTTGGGTCACACACACTTTGTGAGGGCTGCACTTCACCTTCAGGCAGGGGTCCTTGGATGGGTCCAGGGCTGAAGCAAAAGGAAAGAGAAAAAAGGAGTTAGCATGTCCAGGAGAATTTAATTTCTATTGCTCTTCAAATAAACAAATGAGAAATAAGCCAGCTGCATGTTTGCATTTTGTACTGCTCTTTGAGGATGGTGGTGACTGGAATGAAAATCCACCTGGGGGACCTCTGTGTCTGTCACACAGTCTGGTAACAGGATAGCGATTCTTTTGTGCTTTGAGAGTTTCATCATTTTCATTTAAGGCAGGAATTGCTTTTTTAAAAAATCCTTTAGAATCTGACATGATCTAAGGACCAAGAGCTTCCCTCTTTGGTTATTTATCTTGTGTGGCTTTTTATGATTTCATCCATGTTTAATTGTACTTATTTCTACCACATAAAACTCCTTAAGGACTGTAGTTTTTGCTTCAGTTCAATACACCATCTATATGCATAAATAACCTATTTAACTTTTTAGAGAACTTCAGGATGTGCAAGACAGTTTTGTGCCACACAAAGTTATAATGTAATACAAGGAAGAAAAAGCTTACACATAAATATTTATTGTGCAAGGCAGGATTAGATAAGAGCCATGATGGGCATATAAAATGATAACCGAGCTTGAAAGAAAAATAGAGATCAATTTCTAGGGCAAGGATTAGTGGAGCATTAATATGTGAATTGGATCATGAGGGATGGGTAGGATTTGGAAAAAGCAAAATAGAAAAGGCAGGTCAGGCAAGAAGACAAACACCAGCAAGTGCAGGGAGGCATATTTGGGAAATCATGAGAAAATCAGTCAAGTGTGATTTGTGGCTGGGAATAATGACAGGAGGGAAGTTGACTCAAGTAACTCCAGAAAAGGTCCCCAAAGGCAGAAGTTCATCTCCTGAAATGCTTTCTAGAGGAATCTGGGCATCAGGCCCCTGACTAATCAGTGTTCTGGTGTGGAGGTGCACATTCCTATCATTGGCCCAGAAGAGGCCATAGAGAATACTCTGCAAAACAAAAGCAATTGTTCCATCTCCCAGCTCCAAGGCCTACAGCCCATTAGGTGGTAAATCTTTTATAACTGCTATCCAAAGTCAGGGGAGGTGAGGTATCCCCATATAATTCCCATACAAATATCTGGTTAAACAAATTAGCATTCCAAGCATGGCCAGCAAAACCGCTCTAAGAAATGCCATCGTCTACTCCACTGCTGGGCTTTCAGCTGTCACACAGCATCAGTCACAATTCTTCACTTCCCACCGACGCTCCAAATCTGAGCACATTTTCTTCAGAGGGCTGCTGGGAATATTTCAAAGGTCCTGCAGATAACAGTCAAAGGTGTTTCTGCTGCCTGTGCAGCTCAAGGTGGCTCCTCTGCAGGAGCTGTGGAAGCTGTAAGCAGGACCCAGGGAGTGTTCTTAGGTTAGTCAGGACAAAGACAGCACCACAATCCAGTCCCAAAGGAGTAATGTGGAAGAGCTGACTCCCCAGTGGATATGTCCTGGGGCCTGCAGGTTAGTGGACAGAAAGAGGCTCCAATAAGTGAGAGGCTGCTTTGAGCCCCAGGGGAAGTGTGCTCACTCCCAGCTCTTAGGATGAGTCACCTCTGGAATTCAGAGCCCAGAGACCGGTGTCTGCCCTCTCCCCCAAGACCTCCACAGCTGGTCCTCCCTCAAACCTGTGTCAAGAGCTCTTTGGCCCCATGAGGAATCCTCTTTGTCCTTGGGGGTATCAAGCCAGGTATGAGAAACCTGGAGGCTGATGCAGTCTCAGCCAGTTGCCTCCTCCTTTGGCATCACCACCTCTATTCCATCCCTGAGGCTACAGCCCAGCCAGCTCTGACTTCCCTTCCAAGACCTCTCCAACACAGAGTCACTCATTAAGAAGGATTATCAGATGGCCACAGCTGTCCTTCTTACCCTTCTCAAACTTCCACCTACCACTTACAGAATTCAGGAAATCAAGGACCAGCAGCCTTGCTAAAGTTACCAACTAAGGCATTTTCCCCAGTAGGTGCCATGTGCTACAGACTTTGAGATTTCTATTGAAGTGGGTCTCAGAGCTGCAGAACAGTAGATTGGCCTAGTATGACAGGTGCCGGGATCTGCAATACCACATGATAAGCTTCAGGGCTGAGCTTGAACTCTTTTTGTGTCTGCTGCCAACTTCACAAGTGTGCAGGGTGCACAGTGCTGGGCAGTTGACCTGAATGAGAATAGCAGTCTCAAAGGAAGTAAGGAGCCAGACACACACAGTAGGAAGGACATAGACCGTAGTGCCGTGGTTGCCTGGGACAGAGTCCTGCCACTGCAGCTCATTACCCCTTTTATTATTTAGCTAATTTTTCTATAAAATGGTGATAATGACAATGCTGATTATTGCTAGCTGGTTGTCACAAGCATTACATGAATTAATATCTTTAAGCAATTATAACAGACCTGGTATGTGTCAAGCTCCTTGGACATATTTGTTAGGTTTCTCAGGTTTGTATTTTGTTCCCAGGGTGAATAATAAGCCATCATAATCACAAGAACAATAGTTCGCCTTGAGTGCCTCTGACATGCAGGCAGTGAACTAAGCGCGCTAATTGGATTATCACACTTAATCCTCACGCGGTCCAAGGGGGTGGCTGCTACTAAAATGTCCATTTTGCAAACATGTCTTAGAGAGAAGCTGCCAATGACAAGTGCAGAGGGCGCTGGAAAACCTGCTTTTCAGACTCAAACTCCTCGCTTTCTGCCTCCTGCACTGGGGTCATCTGGCATCTCTGCTGACCCTGAAAGTGGGTTGTACGCTATCACTTTATTCCAATTAGAGAGCTCAGATGTCTCAGTGTTTTCAGGTGTCCTAAGAGCTGAATGAAATGCAGTGGGCAAAACTGGGGGGAGGGGGCAATCAGAGGTCCTAGTGCAGCTGCTGCTGAGGCTGTGACAACACCACTGCCAGTGTACCCCCAGGACTGGGCTCCAGCTGTGGCCCCACTCCCAAGGATGGAGAGCCCAGCCCCAGAGAATAGCATGCCCTGAGTACTCCTGGATACTGCAAGCCCCAACAGAGTCAGTCAAGCCATGGGTTGGTCAAGTCCATCGTCCTAGCATTGAGCAAACTTGCACAGATAACCCTTCTGAGTGCTAGGGTTACAGTGTGCACCACTACATATGGATCCCAGAAAACTAACACTTTTTTGTTTTTACCACTGAAGATTAACCCCATGGCTTCAGCACTAAGCTGTATCTATAGCTCTTTTATTACCTCTTTTTTAAAATTTTGACACAGGGTCTTGTTAAGTTGTCCTGGCTGGCCTTGGAATTATGCTTTTCCTGCCTCAGCCTTCCAGAGTGCAGTCATTAGGGGTAAGTGCTATGACACTGGCTAAAGTAACATTTTTTTAAACAAACAAACAAACAAAAACCCATGTATATCTACAACCAAAACTACTAATAGAAATTGTCGGTTATTTAACTATGTATACATATTTAACAATTTTGCATACAGAAATCCAGTCTGCTAAAGTTAATTACTAGGGTCTGAATCTTTGAAACATGGATGGGAATTATTTAGAATAAATGAACGTCACAGAAAAAACAAATCAAGCTGTCAGAGTCTGTTTAATTACCAGGATGTTTATTTTTGCAAAACAGCATTACTGGGATTGAAGGGAGCTAAGAAGCGTTCCATTTCCATTTAAATGAAAGCCTCCGATGTATGCTTTTCCTAGGAGTGCCTCAGAAGCCACTCTTGAAAGGTTCTCAGTACTGGACAGTACTGTGTGGCTCCACTTTCTACAGGGACTAAGAGAGCCCAGTGACTAATAAGTGGCACCTGGGAACCCCTTTAATAAGGTAGTGAAAGCTACTCAGGTGAGAAGATGGGAGGAAGAGGAAAATGTCAGCGACAGCACTGAGCTGCAAATGCTCTGTTGTGCTGCCAGTGATTTCTTGGAGCCTGTGCCCCAAGTTTTAACCTTGTACACATACGTGGTGACAGGATGATGCGGTCTCCAGAAGATGGGAAAGCTGAAGGTCTCCCCTTGTGTCCTGTGCCACCATCCCTGAAGGACTCACATGGACCTAAAGAGGGTGGTGTGCCTAAGCCAGCACAGGCATCCCTGAAGGTTACTGTCACCTTTCCTGCTCCTCTTCCCACAGAAACCAGCAGGTGTCAGCTGGCATAGGGCACATATCCCCTACATTTTCTCAAAATAATTTTTACAGAAACTTCTCTCAAAGAAAAAAAAGGCCAAAAAGGAATTAATTTAAGGAGATTTTTGCTCAGCTGCAGAGCATTGAATTCAAAAAACAGTTAATTACCAGCTCCATCTAAGTTTTTTTTAATTAATTTTATTTTTTAAGCTCACTGCTTGGTCTCAATTAAGGTACTGATATTTTAATTATCTTAATTGTTTCTGAACTTGTTTTACAGTTCAATGAGTTATTTTTTAATTAGCTACAATTGATCTTCATATCCAGAATCAAGCCCTTTCATTGTCCTTGGGCAAATCCTATGATCTAATTGGCAAAGTATTCTGATATCAGGAAGAGCAGAGCTGGATGCTGCCTGAACGACACTGAGGTAAGAGGAAGATTCCATTTGGTGGGTTGGACCAAAAGATCCCTGAGCCTCCTGGGGACATCACACACATGTACACACACATACACACACACACACACACACACTCATGTTTGCTCAGTGAACATGTACAGAGCATCACTATGTGTGAGACGGCCCTTTGCAGGCATTATGTGTGAAGCCAGCAGCTCTGTAGGGACCAGGAAGGTCTTCTTGTTCTCCAGGGGCTCACATTAAAGACAGGACCCAGGGGATGCACCTAACTCAGCCATGAGAGGGTCAAGTGAGATTTTCTTAAGGGACTGCTTTGAGATTTAAAACAGGCAATAGGAGTAAAACGTTCTACCTAAAAGGAATCTCCATTCCTGGAGTATGAAAGACCTTGTCAGGTGTAGGGAACTGGAGTGTTTAGGCAGTGGAGTAGGAAAAGGCTGGAGAAGGTGGCCAGCCATGGTATGGAGGGCC